TCAAAATGCAGCGATGAAAATCGTAAAAGAAATTCTAATGATAGATAGATTTAACATTTGAATCATATAAAAATGTGAATGGAGAACGAAATTGGAGAAGAAAAGGAAGAAAATATGAAAATCTATGAAAATCAGCAACACGAAAATTGTTTATTGAACAAGATCATTTCAGATTGGGAGGGATATCGAAATATGAAAATGTGAGATCTTATTACCTGCATTATTTACATTATTCGGACTATTGTCCTCATCTTTGTCGCCATATTTATTACAACGCTCCGGCCTTCTTCAGGTGGTTGGAATGTCGAACTTAACCCTTTATTTCGATCACTGGGGTAGACTGTTCTAGTTCCACGTGCCATGTTTAATGGATGTCAGTTATCAGTTATCTCCTGTTAATTTTCCACTGAAAGTTCTCCACTGCCTTAACCGAGTATTGAACTCACGCTCTTTGGGTCCTGTCACTGGATCTAACCAACGCCTTTATCCACTGTGCAATGTGTCCTTATTACCTGACATCACTCTTAAGCTGTACGAGATAAAACGTGATACCATGTTGATTATTTAATATGAGATATGATAAAGAAAACCATTCGAAATCAGTTTTTTAATATGGTCTTTAATATCATATATTGCCGCAGACATCTAGGGTGTCTTTCATTGTTTATTATTTAGTTCTAAAGGAAAAAACTGATTTTTGAATGGGACGCGAGTTCTGATTTTCAAGTAACTTTTTGATTTTCTTGTTCATCCAATATAAGAAGGGTAGCGATTAAAATATATGACGACATGAGAGTCCGAAAAGGAAGAATCGGGAAGAAACAGGCGAAAAAAACTTAAATGTGTGCAAGTTTGAGGAAGAAGTGTAGGTTGGAGCATAGGAAGGATTTGAGGAGGGACTATCCGAAGAAAGGAGGGAAGTAAAGAAAAGATTCGGTAGAAATGTAATGACAATAACAAGTAATGAAAAAGCAAATAATTAGAAGATGAATTATTTGTACAACGGGCAAATGGCAAAATGAAATCAGTAGTTTTCAAAAATGATAATGAACAAAAGAAAAATGAAATCAAAGAATGAGAAAGAAGGTGTTCGAAAAATAAGAAGGATAAAAGAAAGAAAGAAAGAAAGAAAGAAGCAAAGAAAGAATCAGAGACTAATTAAGTGAAAAAATTTTTAAATGTACTTAGTACGAAAGAAGGAAATATGAAATGGGACGATGGGGGAGAGAAGAGATAGAGGGAAGTCGAAAGTAAAGAAGGAAGGAAGGTAGAAAGGAATGAAGAAAGGAAGAAAAATTAAAGGGACAATAATGTGATTAACGTAAATGAAAGAAAAAATTTATTACCAAAGAAGGATGAAAGAGAGTAATGATGAAGGAGTAAGGAAGGAAGGAAGGAAGACAAAAAAATAAAGAACGAAAAAAGAAAGAAAGGAAAAATAAAGTAAGACGATGAAAGAAATAGCGAAGAAAAACAGAAAAGTAAAGAAAAAACAAAGGAAGGGAAAAAAGGAAAAGAGAGAAAAAAAGAAAGAAAAAAAGAAAGAAACGAAAATATAAAAAAAGAAAAAAAAGAAAGAAACGAAAATATAAAAGGAAAAAGAAAGAAAAGGTAAGAAAGAAAGGAAAAGGGAAAAGAAAGAAAGATAAAAAGAAAGTAAAAAAAAGAAAGAAAGGAAAAAGAAAGAAAGGAAAACGAAAAAAGAAAGGAAGAAGGGAAAAAGAAAGGAAGAAAAATGAAAGAAAATGAGCGAATAATGGGAACCAAGAATTGATCAAAACAACAAAATAAAGTTTAAAAAAAAACCCAGAAAGGACACACATAGAGACACACTCTATTCCTCTCTCTCTCTATCTCTGTCTCACTCTCTCTGTCTCTCTCACTCACACACACAAACCCACACAGACGTACGCACACACACACAAACACATATATATGTTTATGTGTGTTAAAGATATAACATTTATATATTGAATTTAGCGTCACCTTCGTTCTTGTCAAATCTTATACAGACGAGTCGAAAGCCTTTCGTTGATATATGAACAAGGTCAGCGTGGAAGCCGTTTTTCACTGTTCTAACATGTTTGTAAAAATTTTATAGCGGAAAAATCGAATCACAGCGAAAACAGAAAAATAAGAAATGGACATTTTTGAAATGGGAAAAAAAGAAAAAAAGGATTTTCTTCGAAGTCAGCCAAGGAGATTGTTACTAAAGAGAAGTAACACTTTCTGTCCATTGGACATGTCACTGTATTTTAAGTTTCGCCTGGTATTTCTCAAAAGAGATAAAATCGGGAAACACAAGCAATAAAATACTCTCTTCATTTTTGCTTCCCTTTTTCTTCTACTAAAATCAATACATTATTATATTTCGATCAATGTGTATTTAATCTAGTTGTATATTGTGACTTACATCGAGGATGAAGTAAAAGCAAATATTCTCAATAGTGTAGCACCCCATGGAATCATTCCAAAACAAATTACGAACGCCTGCATATAATCTATAGAACTTTATCTACTCTTATCGTCACATATTGATAATGAAATGATGAAAAAATATGTGGGCCAATATACACGCCTAATGTACACCCAAGATAATATTCGCTTTTCCATTCTAATGAATGATTTAAAATATTCTAATGAGTTTAGTTAGTCTCACTGGAAACGAGGGTCAACAATAACTGAGCAGCACTAAGCAAGGATAGGATTTGGAAAGATAGATATGAATAGGCTAAGATAGATAGATAGATAGATAGATAGATAGATAGATAGATAGATAGATAGATATGGACAGACTGAAATAGATAGATAGATAGATAGATAGATAGATAGATAGATAGATACAGACTTAGATAGATAGACAGACTTAGATAGATAGATAGATAGATAGATAGATAGATAGATAGATAGATAGATAGATAGATAGATAGATATGGATAGACTGAAATATGTTGTTTAGATAGATAGATAGATAGATAGATAGATAGATAGATATGAACAGACTAAGATAGATAGATAGATAGATAGCTAGCTAGCTAGCTAGCTAGCTAGATAGATAGATAGATAGATAGATAGATATGGACAGACTGAAATAGATAGATAGATAGATAGATAGATAGATAGATAGATAGATAGATAGATAGATAGATAGATAGATATGCGGCGATGCCTATCGTTGTGTAGCTGGGTTTATAAAAATGTACATAAAATATTCAACCATTCCTCGTGCAGTGTGTGGTACTTTCTGAATGCTTAGTATCTACATGAGACTCAACTAACTGTTAAATAATGATATCAGAACACAATTATAAATGAATACAGGGTGTGATGTGTAAATTGCTGCCATTTTATATTTTTCATTTGGCGCATGCGCATTGTTTTGGATTTTGTCGACTACGCACTATCGTAGGGTCAGTTGGGCAACCTCTGTGATAAAAAGAGCACCATAACACAATTCGCATCACCAGAAATTTGGAAACATTCTGTAATGCTTGGCATTCGCGCTGGAAGATAGAATACAAATATTTCAAAATGTAAATCTGAGGACAATGGATAGGTTTCAGAAATGGTGATTATGAAGGTATGGCAACTCGGAAAACTTTCTTTGATCGTTTTGATAAGAAAAGAGCTCCCTAATTTGTTAGTGAGGGCCTCACCCAACACAGAGGCCTACATCAATTGCGGCAATTTATCCAGCACCCTGTACTGGAACACAGTTTTCAGTGTTATCATTCGAGATTAAAATAAACGTGTATTAACGAATAGATAGATAGATAGATAGATAGATAGATAGATAGTGAAAAGAATGTGATAAAATAGATAAGTGTGTATATCTGTGTATGAACCTGTAATTTTATGCGTATTGCTGTTAACCCGTATAAATATGTGTTCGTAGTTCTCGTTCGTATCAAATTCCAATATCAGCACTTTTAGATTCAGAAGTGGGAACGTCGCCAATGTGTCTTTCAGAAGTGATGTTATTTTATTATCGTAGTGTCAAGACATTTCTAAAATCTCCGCAGTTTTTAACATAAATGACCTTTTGGCAAATCAATATTTGGAAAATTTAAAGCGCAATATTTGAAATGCATCCATTTTTCCGCCAGAGAAAAATATCCTCGAATCTAAAGTTATCAGTAAGAGGAAATCTGTAAGCTTGGATTATATATAGGTAAAACTTGAATTATATATATGTACAACTTTCTATGTTGATATATGTCTACATGAGGTTATGAGTGTAATGAAAGACGCCATGTTGCTCTTATTTTTTTTCACAGAGTGTGCCTGAGTGATCCTATAGTCGATGAAATAAAAAAAACAACAACGCGCATGTGCAAAATTAAAAATAACAAATGGCGGCATTTTACTCCTATAAGATAGACGTACTATATATATATATATATATATATATATATATATATATGTGTGTGTGTGTGTGTGTGTGTGTGTGTGTTGTTTGTGTGTGTGTGTGTTGTTGTTGTTGTTTGTGTGTGTGTTGGTGTGTATGTGAACAAAAAAATGAAATCTGAAAAAGAAAAGCATGAAAATGGCGTTCCTTTTATGAGGAATCTTTCCGAATTGAGTGATTCTCAGAGAATGTCTGGCGAAACTGGAGACAAGCTCAGCAATATGATAGATAAACAGATATATTTGGCTGTTCAAATTTTGCAGAATTTTTCAATTATATTAGCACCTACCCACGCCGACACATACTCTCGCTCTTTCTCTCTCACACACACACACACAGACAGGCTGCGATGGATAAATTGTCGTCGACGTTACGCAAAAATGAAAATAACACTGGTATTTCATTTTAATAGATATATTTACCAAAATTACAGAAAAAAATATCTTGAAATACTAAATAGTATATTTATTCAATAAATATTTGCTCCAACCATGGCCTCCAGAACACTTCAGAAACTCCTGCAACTCTTCTGGGCGGTCACCTTGATGAAGTTGGTGAATGCTGTCATAATCCTTACTTTCTTTTCATCTTTGGTGTTACAAGAAGTTTTGTTGGTCTCTCCCTCAACTGCGCCCCCCCCCCACATAATAACCAAATATGTTTAAATCTAAGGAGTTAGGTGGCAAGATATAAGTGCTGATTTAGTTATAGAAATTGTCATACAGCCATGAGTGGTTTCATCTGCTTTTGTGGCATGCTCATCCAGCAGCCATTCTCTTGACCCAGGCAGGCAGTACCTCCTCAAGGCACTTGATTTATGCCTCCGTGTTGAGTATTAGGCCCTCACCAACAAACTCCGTTTTTTTTTGTTTTTTTTTTGTTTTTTTTATCAGAGTGAGTTTTACAAACTGCCATACCTTTGTTATCACCATTAAACTAATCCAACTCTTTCCGATTAATCTGCAAAGTCCTCAGATTGACACCCTAGCACTTTCTGTATTGTAGCTTCAGGTGCGAATGCCAAGCAGTACAACATGCTGTTTTCAAATTTCTGAAGTTGCGAATTGCGTTATGGCGCTCTTTTTATCACAGAAGCTGCCCAACTGACCCTAATATACTGTGCAGTCGGTAAAATCAAAAACAAACAATACGCATACGCGAAATAAAAATGTGAAACGGCGACAATTTACCCATCACACATTTGTGTGTGTGTGTGTGTGTGTGTGTGTGTGTGTGTGTGTGTGTGTGTGTGTGTGTGTGTGTGTGCATATATAACCTAATTCTCTTAAATCGACACTCCATTCTTCCACCCTCGTCCGTCTACAAAATTAATAGATTAGTTCGAGACTGTATTATCTTCTTATGGGCGGGGGTGGGGGTCAAGTCTTCTTCGGTATGTTGTGAGTTCTGCTGTTTCCATCCTGTTGAAAGCAGTCTGGGAATGCTGAGCGTTGAGATTCGTCAACATACACTCGACTTGAACTTTCTCTAACAATTCTGTTTGCAAGAGTAGGTAATGGCGAATTTTGGAAGGAAGCTGCTCGTCGATCTGGCTGAATACGGACGACGGAGAGCCCCACTGACTGACCCGAGCCGATTGCTCTTTTTATCAGGAATGTCGCAATGCTCTGACACCAAGTCATTGTCTCAAGTTTTAGTGTGGGTGTCCTTGTAAAGATGAATCTTTGGTGAGTTCGACCTTACGAAAGAGAAGTTTAGTTCCATTTAGCGTTGGTTGTCCTTGTTCAAACAACTCAATAATGACGAGACATCGCTCACATGGCTGCTGTTAAGAGCGACTATCTGGGTCTGGAGGAAGCTTTCGTGGCGAAGCTGGCGATTTCGCCCGAGTACGTGCGCTCTGGAAATTTGGAGGAGTCCGCTAGTCATGCCTTCTTTCACTGCAGTGTCGTGCTCCTACAGGATTTGCATTTTAGACGGGAAGTTTTTTTTTGTACTGGAAGTCTGTATCAATGTACCGTTACTGATAAAGGATCAGCATAATGTACCCTTCTGTCTGTTCGACATTATGCGTGTCGTGCTGTCGACGGCATGTTAGGAGATCCGTACAGGTGAGAAGTTCTTCCTTTCTCAACTGATCATCAGTTTAAAGTTAAGATCAGAGTGTAAAGGGCATGACTCTCTTCAGTGAAAGACATGGGAAGGTTTCACATAGAAGAGGATTTTGAGCCGATAACCTAAATTATGTCATCCCAGTCCAAGTTAGGATAGATAAGGACAGTGTGTCTTTTTGCTATCGTTTTCAGGCTTTTTGTTTTGTTTAACTTAACTAAGATATACAAGCTCATAGGCCCTTTTTATTTTTGTCCTTTTCTATTTAATTATTTCATCCTTTCCATTATTAGAGTTTGTCTATATTTCTGAGATGAGGTATTATGTACATTATTTACATTATTCGGGCTATTGTCCTCATCTTTGTCGCCATATTTATCACAACGTTTCGGCCGTTGTACGCTCCGGCCTTCTTCAGGTGGTTGGAATGTCGAACTGAACCCTTTATTTCGCTCACTGGGGTAAACTGTTCTAGTTCCACGTGCCATGTGTGATAGATGTCAGTTATCAGTTATCTCCTGCTAATTTCCCTTTGAAAGTTCTCCACTGCCTTAACCGCGTACACTCTTTGGGTCCTGTCACTGGATCTAACCAACGCCTTTATCCACTGAGACTTGTGTCCTTGAGGACATCTGGGTATGAATTTCTAGGTATTATAGACCTAATGTCCTGAGCAATCATTTTTACCAGTGCTCATATTGCAATTTTGCAGTTATCACGCACCTGGTTACCTTCGATGGATAAATGATTAATATTTCCGAACTAAAATCAGTAGATGAAATAATGGTCTCGTTTTTATTGTGGACAAAAGATTGAATGAAATCATAAAATCTTTAAGGGACTATTAAGGTCATTAAGACGTTGGCTAATCTGGAGATTAACATTCAGCAAATTGTAAAAGGCAAAGACTTTTCTATGTGGGCTATATTGATGCACACTAAAGAAAAATGATTTGCATTAAGAAAGCGAAACCTTCAGAACAAGGAAAGTATAATTAGCAGGGGAGTATCAAAGCCTGCTTAAGATAAGAATTGTTATTCGTGAGTTTTCTAGCTTCATTTCAGCACAGAAAATGTGGAAATTATCTTCGATTGGAGATTTCAGCTTATGTTGGATCATAAATCTTTTAATACCATCGTCAGCTTGATTAACATCAATGGAATGAGCTATTGGGCTTCGTGCCAGAAATAAAGCTGTCGTGCTGGGAGACCATTTGGACAGTTTTTGCACATTTTATGTCCAGGAAAGAAAATATGTTTATGAACACAAGAAAAATTAAGTAAAAAACTTAATATAAACATAAATATGAAATAAAATGCTTAACACACACACATCCATATATATATATATATATATATATATATATATATATAGTTTTAAGTTATGCATTATTTATGTGTAGAATCGATAGAGAGTTTGTAAATATAAACGTCAACAACGAGAGGCAGGGTTAGTGTGTTTCATGCTTGAACACAATCTTAAGGCAAGATCTTGACATTAGTGACCATTTCTCATATATATATATATATATATATATATATATATATATATATTAAGGTAGTAAAGTGTTTGGTAATCCATGCGGGGTAATTCCAAAAGGATGTAATCCAGAGAACTCAATGTAAATAAGAAAGGGACAACCTTGTCTCTTTCTTATTTAATTGATATATATTTATATATATATATATGTGTGTGTGTGTGTGTGTGTGTGTGTGTGTGTGTGTGTGTGTGTGTGTGTGTGTGTGTGTCTATAAGTATAAATATAAGCCTTTATGAAATGTTTTAAAGTACATTTCCTCAAATATTTCTCCTCAGATATAAGCTTGCAACAGTGCCACTGGCCGGATGAAATCGTGTAAAACAAAATCGAGCCATGAACGAGAATTTCACGTGATGCTAGGTCGTAAGAGAAAGGAAATCTCGCGGCGAGTTTCTGTCATTCGACACCTGAGAAATCTCATATGAAGCAGCGATCAATCAACACGTATTCCCTTTCACGTACTTCCTCTCAACACGTGCAAATTCTCACACACGCATGTGTAGACACACACGCGCTCGCGCACAAGCACATACACACGCACAAACACACACACGTGTGTGGGGTGTAATGTACTAATACACATGTAGGCAGTAAGTCCAGATATATAGAAATATAATTGACAAAACTGCAGTAAAATCAAACAACTGCACCCAACATGAAGTTAGGAATTAACAAAAGAACCCTCATTCAAGCAATGAATCATATCTAGACAAACACAACTATATATAAAGAAAGATGCAATATCACACACATTTACTAAAATAAACACATTCATATATACAGGTAAGTTGAATATATTTAATTACACATATTCTGATACAATAAAAGAACCAATTCATCGATTTCTTTCCCCTTTTCACAGGTTTAATTTTTCACACGCTGCAGCTCATCTAGTTAGTAGAATTAGGAAGTAAGGCAATATTTCGAAAATTACACTCCCTTCTATCTCAGTTTAAAATGGAATAAAATGACTAGCAATAGGACAGATAAATTGAAAATGACCCATAATGAGTCTCCACATCAGACAATGTTGTTTATACTCTTTTTATAATCGTTATTCAAAGGTTAGTGGGTTTTAAATTGCATTGCTGTTAACAGAGAAAAGATTATTGCAGAAAGCTTATCAGATATTGAAAACTGTAAGAAAGAAACCATATTATGTTGCAATCCTAGACGATGTAAATTCCCTAACGAAACCAAATCAAGTAAACTGCAGACAAGATAATCTGGATGTGGAAATTCTGCTCAATTAAATATTGAACGCTGATGAAGATTACTTGTCATTAGATTACTTGCTAATAGCATAAAATTAAGCACCACTATATTAGATATCCTTCCAAAGCTTTAACCTTTTCTTATCTTTTGGTAAACCTTTTCCTAAATTAGAACAAACATCTACATGGAAATCTGACTATATTTCATGTACATAATCTTAAAGTTGTTGCTGATAAGTTGTTGTCCTTGTTCGTACACTTCATTTTCTTTCATTCCATAAATTTCAGTTGGATTCCGATTGGAATTCTCTGAAAGTTAAAGTTAAAAATGTATATTCTCATTCTAAAAATAATTCTTAATTAATTTACCATTTAGGAATCATTGCCAGAGAAAAGGTTTCAACCATGATTTAGTGTCAGATTTGGCATCCAGTATTCGCAATAATTTTTTTCATTATAACATTAAACATTACCAAGAGGAACATCGTCAAAACATAATGCTCCGGCCTCTATGTTTTTGTTGTAGGGTTTAAATCGAAACTTGATGTCATCAAACTGATTATTCCTATCGAGGTATAGTTTTGTCACGTTCGACCATGGTATCTCCTACATTGTGAAAAGCTGGTCAGTATGTTCATTTGCAAAAACTAAACAAACTTTGCAATGATTAACATCTTAAAAACCGAATTTTACAATTTATTTCATGCTATTTATACTATTTATACTGTAAGAGCTTCGAAATTCTTCAAAGTTGTAATATTTGGAAAATTTGGACATTGGCAGTTTCTTCTTTTTATTCTTCTTCTTCTTCTTTCTCTTCTTCTTCTTCTTCTTCTTCTTCTTCTTCTGTGTCTGATGGACTCTCCTGTGTAATTATAATTTTTAAAAGACGGGAGAATCCATCATACATAAAATAGGAAGTTACTTTTCAATCTACATTTATTGTAAATTAATACAATTATGGCACAAGGTAAAAAAGGGGGGGATAAGTAGAGGCTGGTCTTCACTATCTATCTTATACCTAGCTGATCGCATTCACGACATACAATTTCCACATTCACCATGAGAACTCATCCGTCACCAATCCCGCTCCTTAGAGGAGTTAATTTTCAATCACCCGATTCATATCCTAACACTAGATTCTTGTGGAAATTAATAAATATAAATATATTCATTATTTACATACTTCGGACTATTGTCCTCATCTTTGTTGCTAAATTTATTACAACGTTTCGGCCTTTCAGTATCTGTCTATATTTCTGAGATAAGGTATTATGTACACTATTTAGATTATTTAGACTATTGTCCTCATCTTTGTTGCCATATTTATTAGAACGTTTCTGCCGTTGTAAGCTCCGGCCTTTTTTCAGGTGGTTAGAATACCTCATCTCAGAAATATAGGCAGATAAATCTATTTCGTATCTAACACTTAATATGCATAATCTATTCATAGAAAAATTCTAGTTTTCCTTCTTATAGTTTTCTTTTGGCATTAATTTTGGATACAGCGTTTTAAGGTTTGTCCTGGAAGTTGTTAAATCTAAAATGTAGTTAATTATTCTACACATCGGCCTAAGCCACAAACTAAAAGTTAGATTTAACTGCAACAATTTTAAAAATGTTATTCAGCATGAAGTAATTTCTCTAACCCCATGAAAATAATTAATGTCATCACAGTAAAGTTCAATACTTAAAACATACAAGGGAATTAAAGAGCGCAAGAAAATGAAGGCAGCCCAGATACAGTTGCTTAATGAGCAGCAACGTACAGGATGTATAATTTGAAGGAAAGGCTGAATATGAATGTGTTGGAGGAATTTTCAAATGACCAATATATATATATATATATATATATATATATATATATAAATTCTCAAGATAGAATCCGGGTTGAACTCAATGTCTAGGACAAATTAAGAATATAATCTAAAAGGCTCAAACACTAATATTCATGGTTATAATTTATTACATTAGAATCGTAATTACGTTCAATTACAAATGCAAGATATATATATATATATATATATATATATATATATATATATATATATAGAGAGAGAGAGAGATGCAAGTGGTGGTGGCCTGACGATTGCATCAAGCATGAAACAGACTGTCGCCTCTAAGTGTTGACTTCTATGTTCACTTTTATATTTACACTCGCTATATCTCTGATATTGAGCACTTTATCCCATAAATATAGCACATCTTAAGACTATATTTCTTCATATATACATATATATATATATATATATATATATATATAGAGAGAGAGAGAGAGAGAGTGTGTGTCATAAGTAAATTGTCATAATCTTTTTTATTTTGCCAAGTACTGAGTATAGTAGGATCAGTTGGACACGATCTGTGAGAAAGTGAGCATGACGCAATTCACATCGCCAAAAATTTCGAAATGGCATGTTCTACTGCTTGGCATCCGCACTGAAATCTCCAATACGAACATTTTAGAGTGCGTGGGTATCAATCTGAGGACAGTGCAAATGATTAGGAAAGAGTTATATGAGTCTAATGCTGATTACGAATATACGGTAGTTCGGAAAACGCAATCGGATCGTTCTGATAATAAAAGAAATCCCGGATTTGTGGGTGAGATCCGTACCATGATTGAAAAGGATCCCTCCAATTCAGGCAGGGTTGTACTGCTGCCCTAGGTGACTGCTAAAAGATGCTATCTCTGGCAACAATGAATCTGTCCCAGGCTACACAAACAGGAGAACTCAGTCATGGCTGTCAAACAATTTCTACGGCCACATTAAGCCTTACAACTGACTACCTCATTCCTCAGACTGCAACATCCTTTATTATAATGTGTGGGATGCATTTGGGCGAGAGACTAACAAAATTTCTCAAAAGATGAACTGAAAGGCAAGGAATATGGCAGCATTCATCAACTTAAACAAGGAGACTGTCCAGAAGAGGTGCAGGAGATTCCAAAGTCGTCTAATGGTTGATGCCAATGGCGATTTTATTAAATAAATTCAAATTATTTTTGTGTAAGTTTGGTAAATATATGTATTAAAATGAGTTAGCTGTGTTTTCATTTTTGTATAATTTATACGAAAATCTACCCATCGCATATGTATATATATATATATATATATATATATATATATATATATATATATATTCTAAGAGGTTAGGCGAACGTTTGCAAATATGCAATAGTAATTAATCTTACTGATAGATACATAGATAGACCTTATTAAATTTTCACCGAATAGAGGCCCAAGAGCCAGTCAAGTTAGAGCTTTACCAAATGAGTATTCGAGTAAGCGTCCTCTGCTTACCCTGGCAATGCACTTGATTGTCTTGGAGGGATCGGTCTCTAGGGACTCTGTTTCACAAGATAGCTGTTCTCTGGAAAAAGATTCCTATATGGACCTCTTTTCGTATCAATAGGAATATAAAGGTAATGAGGATAATGTGTCCTTGTGTATGTGGCAGGGCGGTCCGTAATAATAAATACCCGAACTTGTGTAACTAATGCGATAGGATTTTGACGTTTGTCCGTGGGAAAGTGGCTGTAGAGTTGGAAATAATTCCTCATCCAGGAGATAAACCGATTGCGATGGACAGGTTTAAAAATAGATATGAGAAAACAATTTTAGATAGATAGATATATATACGTCCGTACATACATACATAAATACATATATATACACATACATACATACGTGCGTACTTATATACATACATATATATATACATATAAACAGACTCAACTGTATGGATATCATTATATTTATGCGAATAATGTGAAATACGTGGCCAGAAATGGAAGTACATAGATAAATTATACATATCTTTGTATATTTTTAAATCTATCATAATTATTCTCAAGTAATTTATATATATATATATATATATAACAGAAATAGATAATTTTCACAAATATTTATTATAGATTTTATTCAGATATTATTAACGCCAAGCAAGCATTTTAAAATAAGCTGTCTGATTTCTTGTTTTGATTATGAGCTATGTTTTGCTTGGAATTAAAAGGATACCATTAAAATCAGTCCCATTAAGTATCAGAAGAAATCACGTCTTTTAGGGTCTGGAAAAATGAAGAACACAATAAAGTTATGAATACAGACAGAATGGAATAAGTATAAATTGGTCGTGATGAATTCTAGTTGACTTAGATGTAATTTAGTCACGTGATTTAAGTATATGTAGTGAATCTACAACAGTGAAGTGTGTAAAAATAACATCTCTCAATTATATATATATATTCACACCAAGCAAGGCGTGTGTGACACTAGTACGCAAGGGCTATAGAGAGTGTAAGGGAAATGAATGGGTATAAGGTGATTGAGTAAAAAAGAAAGGAGGAGGATAAAAATGCAACAGAAGATGTCGATTGACATTACTTTTGTATTTTTGAAGATTATATTTATTAGGGAAGCAAGTGAGAGGAAGGGAGTTCCACTGTCGAGAAATTCGAGATAGAAAGCTGTTGGAGTAGAAGAGGATGTTACTTTTAACTGTTTCGACAGTAAACGGGTGGGACCAATATGCCAGCCTAGTAGCACGCTTAAATTCGTGCAGTCGGGGCAAGAGTGAAAATAGATCGTCAGAGCAGATGCCATGAAAATGTTTATAGAAAAGACAAAGGGAAGCCACATTACGTCGGAGACTGGAGTCGGGAATGCAATCAGGACCTATTAGAAAGGAGTCTTCGATTAGGATTCTACTCCTTTACTAAGCCATCAGTGGGGATCAGATTAAATGAGTCTAAAAGAAAACTTGTCATGATTTATCCAGCTTTAACTCTTTTTAACATTCTCTATCTGCATATAACGAAGAGTTTCATAGACAACGACAGAATTCTGAGTGGTAGCTCTAAATCCATGTAACAAAGACGCAGGTCAGTATGATAGATATGAATCGATTGAAATAAATTCATCCGAAGCATTTCTCAGATAGAAGATTCGAGATCGGAACAAAAGCCAACTATAGTTTCCTGGAATATTTCGCTGTCTTTTCAATTCTATTATTTGTGAATGAAGAAGAAGGACGTAAGAGAAACTTATACGCCTATACATGCAAACATAATAGAATTTGAAGAATAAAAGGAGACCAGGGTCATAATATAATAAATCATTAGTGTAATCAAGCTTGATTCCCAAATATATATCACATTGTCACTTTGAGAATGGTAGGGGTCTGCGAGTGAATGGTGAGGAAGTAAAAATGATTACGATCTGCAGAACGATGGCGTGAAATATAATAACAGTAGTATTAGTAATTGTAGTCTTGGGCCTGTAAACCTTCAAACACAGACACACATGCACACACGCGGAACCCCAAATTGGAAATCTAAGATTCAAATGAATAGTTAAATTTAATGTTTTCTCTTATTGAATCGATAAATCTCCAGTTCGGTCATGTACCTCGCTATATGAGCAAAGACGGACACCGTATATTTACTGGAAAGATGGCAACACAATGGAAATCAAATAAAGAAAAGAAACAAAAATAAAGAGTAAAGATAAAAAATGGCCCAAAAATGAGTAACAGATAAGCTAAACGAAATAAAAAAAAATGATCAGATAATCGATAGTCAGACAAAAATCCCAT